TGAACAAACTTGGTAGACACCCATTAGAACATGTTTCATGCTAAATATCTTAGCTCTAACTCTTTTGGTTCTTTAAAAGAAGATTTTTTAAGTTTTTACTATATGCATATAGGGAAAATCAATGACCCCCTGGGGCGGGGCCAATTTTGACCCCAGGGCTTTTATTTGAACAAACTTGGTAGACACCTATTAGAACATGTTTGATGCTCAATATCTTAGCCATAGCTCTTTGAGTTCTTTAAAAGAAGATTTTTTAAGTTTTTACTATATGCATATAGGGAAAATCAATGACGCCCCGGGGCGGGGCCAATTTTGACCCCAGGGCTTTTATTTTAACAAACTTGGTAGACACCCATTAGAACATATTTCATGCTAAATATCTTAGCTCTAGCTCTTTGGGTTCTTTAAAAGAAGATTTTTAAGTTTTTACTATATGCATATAGGGAAAATCAATGACCCCCCGGGGCGGGGCCAATTTTGACCCCAGGGCTTTTATTTGAACAAACTTGGTAGACACTCACTAGAAGATGTTTCATGCCAAATATCTAAGCTCTAGCTCTTATGGTTTTTTAAAAGAAGATATTTAAAGTTTTTTCTTTCGGTTGCCATGGCAACCAGAGTTCTGCATGGAATTAAATTCTTTGAACAATTTTTAAAGGTGACCACCAAAGGAACATTCCTGTGAAGTTTGGATGAAATTGGCTTAGTGGTTTATGAGGAGATGTCATTTAAAGTAAAAGTTTACGGACGGACGCCGGACGAAAAGCGATCACAAAAGCTCACCCTGTCACTTTGTGACAGGTGAGCTAAAAAAATACAACTGAAAAATCAATGTTTATGGCTATTCTTAGCCCTTCATGATTTAAAAACAGTTAGATACCTTTCATGTTGGTCATTTGCACAATAAAACAAGATTAATCTTGAAAAACAATGTGAGCAAATAATCAGAAATGTTGCACAAAAGTTATTTGTAAAGACCTACATTAAATGGTATAAAACTCTCAAAAAAAAACCTCCACCATAAAAAAAAAAATACTCAGTCAAGTCCCTTTAAACAATATCACAATAATCACTGCTGCATGAACATTTTAAAAACTGCTCCAGTCAGTAATTATTAAGTTAAATGTATGAATACAGTGATCTACACTAGTGTAGGGCACTTAAATATGCACATATTTTACCAATAATGTGATACATTATGTAGAAATTGACCTTACTCCATAAGCAATCTGGTAAATATTAGACATAAGTACTTGTCTCTGGCCATAGTGTAAAGCTCAACCAGCATGCACATTTATGCAGTCTAGACCTGCTTTGTAGAACTGGCTATTAAATTGGTTGAGTTGGTTGCTAAACTATACCTTTTTCATATCTAGAACCTTTAAATGCACATCAAGCCTATAAAATAAACATGTTTTTTTTTTATTTTCTTTGAAAATTTTTATACATATTTTATTTGATTCCACTGGTTCATGATCTAACATACATGTCTTTTTAACCACTCAATGAAAAATTTCCATCCATTACAGCTTAAGACATTTGATGTAAAACATGAGTGATATAATTTTCAACAAGTGCTATAAATGTGAGATTTTCAACAGTGATACATATTGAGTGATATACAATGACTGATATTAACCATACATACCTCACTGCACATATAAAATGATATATCACATATAGAAGCACATCACAATAAATTTTAACATGATATGTACAAAATATAGGCAATGCTGATTTGAATACTTTGTGATGAACAAGAACCAAACTACAGCCCCACCCTTTCTGCCACTGGCCAAGCCCTTTACTATAAGACACTAAGCAATCAACCACTATAACAGAGAGGCCCATTGACCATATCCTCCACTTTAACATAGAGACCCAATGACCATGCCCTCCACTTTTACATAGAGACTCATTGGCCATACCCTCCACTTTTACATAGAGGCCCATTGGCCATACCCTCCACTTTAACAAAGAGATCCATTGGCCATGCCCTCCACTTTTACATAGAGACCAATTTGCCATACCCTCCACTTTTACATACAGACCCATTGGCAATGCCCTCCACTTTTATATAGAGACCCATTGGCCTTACCCTCCACTTTTACATAGAGACCAATTGGCCATACACTCCACCCCATTGGCCATACCCTCAAATTTAACAAAGAGACCACAAGTCATCACTTCAACTTTAATACATAAGCCTACCAGCTAGCTTTTTGCAATGCCCTCCATTTGAAGTGAGGTATTTTGGCTAAGCCCTCCACTTGAACATAGTGGACAATCGACCATGTCATAAACTTTAACATAAAGGTTCACTGGTCAAGCCCTTAATTTGAACATAGAGGCCCTCAATGCCAGTTGAACCTATCATATTAACCTAAACAAATGTTTCAGTTTTGAGAATTAAAAATGCATCAACATATTGAATCTGTCCCTTAACATTCAATTGTAAATGAACCATTTCAAGAAAATACATAAATATTACAGTGTATTTCATGAATAAAATATATACTACATCAGTTGATCTTTTGAAACATGATACCCTTGATTTTTGATATTGACATAAAATTATAGCATTCAATATTGACAGATATGACATGACAATATCCACAAATACATGTGTATTTAGAACATCAAATATTGACACAAAATAGATCTTAATTATAATATTAAACTTCCTGTGTGTATTTTGACATAACCTATTAACATATAATATTAACATTAAAGAATTATTACACAATTACACTATTTTCCTGTGTTGGAATATGATATAGACAAGTCCTAATAACATATAATATTGACACATAGTCAATCCTTAATATAATATCAATAATAAATCTACCAGTAAAACATTGAAATATGACATTGACATCAAGTTATTATAACACATAACATATGAAACATCATAAATTTGATATAAATCATATACAAATATTGTGTTTAAATATAGTATGAACACATATATCAACATAATGTGTTAACACATGGTAATGACATACATATATGATGATATGTTAATATAAGGATATAATCAATATTAAGACATTATAATTTGATGTATCACATATAACTGAATGTGGACACATGTTAACATACATCATTCAAATATTGATAGTGATAAAAGATAGTAACATAATGATATTGACATAAAATATTTTTTTAAATTAAATAGAAATATATGTAATAATCATACACACATATGATAACATACATTATGAAAACAGCATAATGTTATAATGACAAATGATAACAACTTATTATAACAACTTATCAGGATAACAAAATTCTGTATTCTAAAGATATTTGATAATAACATGTTGGCCACTATGTTTGAAGAATAAATGATAATAACATATTTTAATAAAAAGACATATAACATTTTACTATGTTAAAAGAACAAATGATAACAACATATTGTGTAATATGGACAAATGATAACAACACAGTATGTAATATGGACAGATAATAACAACACAGTATGTAATATGGACATATGATAACAACACATTATGTAATATGGACATATGATAACCACACAGTATGTAATATGGACATATGATAACAACACATTATGTAATATGGACATATGATAACAACACAGTATGTTATATAGACATATGATAACAACAAGTTGTGTTATAAGGACATAAATGTATGATAACAACACATTGTAGTAAAGGACATTTGATAAAACACTGTCTTTCAAAGACATTTGATAACAGGATACCATGTCAGAAAGACACATGATAACTAGTTTTTTATGATAACATAATTATAACAACATATCATATTGACATACCATATTCCCATATTAAAATAATGTGTACATTTGTGTATTACTACCAGTGAAAATATGTGTTACAAGTTTATAAAGTTCATGACAGAGAAGTACAGAATTTTCCCCCTTCTTAATGATTTTGAATAAGATGTTACGTAAGATAGACAAAACTAGACCTATCACTGAAGGTGATTAATACCCCCACCAGCAACTTTTTGAAAAATAAGTAGTCTGAAGAAAAATTTCAACACAAACTATCAACTGTGTACAAAGAAATATTTAAATTAATTGTAATCCCAACTGGGGTCTCCAAATAAGCTTGCTTTTCACAAAGTTTGATTACAATATTTCATTCCTAACTCTAGTTATTGTTCGGAAACCATTTTTCTATTTTTAGTAACGGTGACCTTGACCTTGACCCCAGGGGGTCCAAATGCAATACCAAACCAGGTCTTCATATAAGCTTGCTATACACCAAGTTTGATAACAATATCTCATTCCTAACTCTAGTTATTGTCCGGAAACCATTTTTCTATTTTTAGAAACGGTGACCTTTACCTTGACCCCAGGGGGTCCAAAAACAATACCAACCCAGGTCTTCATATAAGCTTGCTATACACCAAGTTTGATTACAATATCTCATTCCTAACTCAAGTTATTGTCCGGAAACCATTTTTCTATTTTTAGTAACAGTGACCTTGACCTTGACCCCAGGGGGTCCAAATGCAATACCAACCCAGGTCTTCATATAAGCTTGCTATAAACTAAGTTTGATAACAATATCTGATTCCTAACTCTAGTTATTGTCCGGAAACCATTTTTCTATTTTTAGTAACGGTGACCTTGACCTTGACCCCAGGGGGTCCAAATACAATACCAACCCAGGTCTTCATATAAGCTTGCTATACACCAAGTTTGATTACAATATCTCATTCCTAACTCAAGTTATTGTCTGGAAACCATTTTTCTATTTTTAGTTACGGTGACCTTGACCTTGACCCCAGGGGGTCCAAATGCAATACCAACCCGAGTTTCCACATAAGGTTGCTATATACCAAGTTTGATTACAATACCTCATTCCAAACTCTAGTTATTGTCCGGAAACCATGATGTGGACCGACCGACGGACGGACGGACCGACCGACCAACCGACCGACCGACCGACAAGCTGACTCCTATATACCCCCCTAAACTTCGTTTGTGGGGGTATAAAAAGTATTTTTGGCATCAGAACTGTCAATATCTCTCTACACAATCTGTGCTGTAGATATCTCACATAACAATCTGAACTGTTGAAGAAATCAAAGACAATCTGAATTGCACTTGAAATACCTTCATTTACAATCTGAACTGTACTATTATACAAATATCTTCCTTTTCAATCTGAACTGTAATTCTGATAACTTATGAAATCTGAACTGTAAAACTGTATTAAGAAATAATATTTCTTTAGACAATATAAACTGTACTAGAGACATCTTTCTGATCAAGCTGAGCTGTAGTACAGATATCTTTAAAGAAACTGTACTATCTTTAAAGATAATCTGAACTATTATAAGAATTTTATTCATATTTCGAGAAGTTTGTAAGGCTTTTATTCATATTTCCAAATACAAAGTTTTTATGTTGAGATTTTTATTCCACTGGTCACAAATTGAGATTCCATTCCTCGCTATTAATCATCTGTAATCAAAGTTTCATTTCATTCATCTTACTACTAGAGATAATCAGAACTGTAGGGAAGATTTTATTAGTGTCTCTAAAGGCATCTGTGTTCTTCACTTCATATTATAAATATCACACTTATTAATCCAAATGTACTCTCAGTGCCTGAAAGGGCGGATGGTCCCTTATTAAGCCTAGAATACATAATACATACATACAATCAATCCAAACTTGGTTTGAGATTTCATTCATTCCTATAAATAATCTGTTTAACAAATGAAATATCATTTATCTCCAAAAAATCATGTTCTTTAGGTAAAAGTTAAATTTTCTTTGAAAGATCATGTAATCACCAATTCTTAATTTTAATAATCTCCCGAAAGTCGTTTAATTCTCCACTAAACTATTTTCAATCACACAAAAGAAGTTCATGTTTCAAATTATCTTTTTTTTAATCTCCCTAAAAAAATCTGACATTCAGTTGTGATTTTATAAATCTCCAAAACACTTATCTCAACTTCCATGAACGTTTGCATGTACTAAATCTCCCAAAAGTCAAAAGATCTGCGGTTAACATTTTATAAATCTCCCAAAAATTATCTGATCTCCAGTGAACATTTACATGTACTTTAATCTCCCAAATGTCATAAAACCTTCAGTTAACATTCTATAAACCTCCTAAGGATGATCTGACTTCCGGCTGAGACTTTATTCCTATGATTATAAGTTTTCCGTCCTTGAGTCCGGCCAACAGGTGACTGTTACCGTTAGTCAAGGCAACACTGTGTATAGGCACTATTAGAGGTATTGAGGTCAGCTGCTTCAAACTGAAAATGAAGGGAATGAAAAAAAAAATCAATTATCATTGACAGTACAATTTTTTAATAGATATACTATACAAAAATGTAAATCAATATTCATGCACTTAATGGATACCTTGGAATTTCATGGCTTAATCGATAAAGACAATGGGAAGTATTAAAAAGAAATTGTACATGTATTCTTTTATTATGTCAACAAAACAACAGCACATCTTTATGCTGAATAACTATGCTCCATTTCTTTTCTGTGTAAGATACAATAATTGCATTTAATACAACAGTCATTAACCATAATGTAAAATAACCTATTTCCCTCTTTCGAAAAACCATTGTCAGAACCAATGGGTACTGTTTGTTTTTTTGTTTTGGGTTTAACGTCACATCAACACAGTATAGGTCATATCGCGATGTTCCAGCTTTACTGGTTGAGGAAGACCTCAGGTGCCCTGCATTATTTCAGGCATGAGCGGGCACCTGAGTAGAACCACCAACGTTCAGTAAGCTAGCTGGATAACTTCCTCACATGAAAGAATCCAAAGTCCGTGTCGGGTTTCGAACCCACAGCGGTAAGGGGCAGGTGATTTGAAGTCAACGACCTTAACCACTCGGCCATGGATGCCCCCAATGGGTACTGATTCTGCTGAGCTACATGCATGTGAATGAAGTGTATACCTTACCATTATGCATCGGTTTCTGGAGAAGTTGATAACAACTTTGTGTTTCAATTTACTTTTTAAACAGCTGTCTATGTTTGCTGACAATAGTTGGTTCTAGATGATGTGCACAAAACATTGTTTACAATGAGCAGGCTCAATCAAATGAGCAGGCATGCTGTGGACTACCTACAAGTTTTTCAAATTTCACTATTTTGTTATTTCTAAATTTCAATACTTACCCAAAAATCTCATACACGATAACATTTCCATCCATATCACCTGTTATCAAGTAATCTCCCTTGACGATCATGTGACCAAGATGGCTTTGGACTGTCTGTGTACAGATGTGTTTTCCGTTGATTGAATATAAATGTAAGGAGGTCACAACCTGCAAGTATGGAAAGCCATTCACTGATAATTTTGTTTAAAATCACAACAACAAATAGAGCATGATTGTGGCAAGATAGCAAAACTATCATTATACCTATATAAGATATTTTAATGAACGAATAGCTTTATGTTGATATGTATCTTTAATGTAAATTGTGTTGAAAATACATTCAGGGTCTTGCAATATCATTTTTTACCAGTCGCAATAGCAACATGGGTATGTGATAAACAGAGGATATTGAATGAGTGTAGTTTAATACTAAATTTATTTAACAAGTTGTATAAAATCATATTATGCAAGCCTCTGTTATCACACTAGAATAATATCGTTTTTTATTAAATGGCTTTATTACACTCCTACTCTGCCGTTTATGTGATAAATATGGTTATGACGTTATTGTCAAACCAATTAGAAACTTATGTTTTTCGCATCAAGCACATTTACAAATGAATTTAATCAAACTTACCTTTGGATCAATGGGTAAAGTTTCATGACAATATATGATAATTTGTCCCATATCATCTACAGAGAGCATTGGTATATCTAGATTAAAGCCGGGTGTTTGGGACGGTCTGAGAGTTCTCATATAATGACCCTTCCTTACAGTGTGTACCATAACTGTACCATCCTACAATATATCAAATCAAATAGATTGGTTTCTATAATTTGAAAATGATATCTTTTTTCCAAGTTTTCGACGTTTTCAAAAGTTCAAGTCAAAACAATCCTTTAGTATGTGAAAGTCAATGCGTTATGATTTATTTGTGGCAGTTGCCTTATTTTACTGGCAAACAAATCTGAATCAAATTCAGAGGACATAATAATAGCTGATACTTTAGAAAGCCTTCACAAATGGCAGACAAGTCCACATTTGGTAAACGTGCCAACATGTACTCCCTGTGCTCATGTGAACTGATTTAATAAGCTTGCAATAAGTCATAGGGTATTCATAAGTAACAGGTGCTTGTACTTGCAAGTAACCATACACATTGAATAAAACTGACTCGAAATAAATGATACAGTGATTTTAATTTAATTCAAGTTTAGGTAAGATATTAAAAGTTGATACCTCAGAAAGTTTTCATACTGGCAAGCACAGCTTAATAACAAATCTAAGAGCTTAAATAACTTACTTTACTTGTCAATACAGCTTGAACACAAATCTAAGAGCTTAAATAACTAACCTTACTTGTAAACACAGCTTGAATACAAAGCTAGGAGCTTAACTAACTTACTTTACTGGCAGACACAGCTTGAACACAAAGCTGGGAGCTTTAATAACTTACCTTACTTGCAGACACAGCTTGAATACAAAGCTGGGATCTTTAATAACTTACCTTACTTGTAAACACAGCTTGAATACAAAGCTGGGATCTTTAATAACTTACCTTACTTGCAGACACAGCTTGAATACAAAGCTGGGATCTTTAATAACTTACCTTACTTGCAGACACAGCTTGAATACAAAGCTGGGATCTTTAATAACTTACCTTACTTGCAGACACAGCTTGAATACAAAGCTGGGAGCTTTAATAACTTACCTTACTTGCAGACACAGCTAAATCAAGTTCAGATGAGATATGAACTGCTGTCACTTCATCATCATGGCCATATAAGGTCTGTAGAGGTTTGTTCAAGAGATTTACACATACTCCACCCTGAAAACATATACAGTTTTTAGTTTTATTATTTTTTTTTTTCATATCACATCAATATAGATAAGGTCATGTGAGAATTTTCCAGAAACCTCAGATGCTGCTTCATTATTTCAGGCACAAAGGGACATCAGACTAAAACCATCAACCTTCCTTTAGCTAGGCGGATAGCTTTCTAAGTTCCTGATGTGATTTGGAACAAATAGCAGTGAAAACCATTATCTCCCCCAGCCCCCACATTTTTGAAATAATTGATATAAATATATTTTCTGGGGTAGGTAGTTAAGAGTAATCTGCCTCTTTTGTTTTCTTTTAGAGCTATTATTGTGAAAAGTGAAATTCATTCAAGATGTTTAAGAAGAAAACCTAGTATAAAAATGGCTTATAAACTGGACACAATAAACTTTACTGATATCAAGAAAAGATAACTCCTACCTGTTGTTGTACTTGCCAGATCATGCAAGTTGTGTCCCTTGATCCAGTGATGAGATGGCTGCCACAGTAATCTAATGCAAGACATGTTACAATATCTGAAAGAGTATAATAAATATTTTGTTAATTTCTCTTATATTCTCTTATAATTTCTATCAATCCAAAATAAGCATGAGCTGCTCAGATTTTTATAAGTACTAATCTAATAGTGTGACAAGAGCTGACCCTTACACAGCACACTTGACTATTCTCAGTGCCAGACATTAAGAAAAGGAGTATAAAGCTATGAACTCTAACCTAGAAATGTGCTTAACTGAAATATAGCAAAATTTCAAGTTTTCAAGGCCTCTCTATTAAAACTTAAATAAATTCACACAGAAACACAATTGTTTTGTGTATGTGTGTGTGTGTGCTTTTTTTTAATGGTGAGACAAGACACAATTTTTTTAATTTTTTCCTTTAGGCGAGAGAATAAAAAAAATATATAATCCATTACCTATATGCCTGCATATATGACTGATTCTACGTCCTTTACCAATATGATACACCTGTAAGCTGTTGTCCCAGTGACCAGCACTAATCAGCAGCTTGGAATCATGGGTAACGACAAATAATTTGGCATCTACTTCCATACCCGGTGCAAACGGACTGTTGAACTTCTTTCTTGTTCTAAAAATATTCGCAAAAATCAACATAATGCATGTATGAATATACAACAAGAATCTCAGACCTTTATATTTTCACAAACTAGTCATAAATAGAAGGGAAATAACTCAAATACATTTTTAAAATATCATTCATCTTAATGATTCAACTACAACACAGAGGCAAGCCGTTGTTTCCTTGAGGAAGGAACATTACATTCATTGCTTACTACTGGTTGGTTCCAGGAACAGATACAAAAGTGTTTCAATAAGCTTATAGCTTCTAACACAATCAAACTAAAATGAATTTGTATAAACTAAAAAACTACAACACATGGTCATTCAGTCTGGCCAAGGTCTATGCCATTTCTTTGACAAACTGACAGTTCTAATAACTGCCCGTTTCAAAGACCAAATGACTAGAAATCAGTCCATTCATGAAATTTAGCAAAGTAAGGGTTATTGAATAAAATTTGCTTTGAATGTTTCAAATATTTAATCTAAAAGAGAAATCTGTAACACTCACTTCAGATTTGATACAGATGGATCTTTATCGAAGGTGAAATAATTTGTGATAGATTTATCATACGGCAACCAGCCATGTGTTCCCAGGATTCCCTCTGAAGATATTGTTACCTAGAAATGAAAATAAATATATTTAACAGCATGGCCATACTATGTAGAATGAGTTACCTTTATAATAGTTTTCATACTTTCTTTGCCTCAAATTCAAGGATAGAATTGTATTAAGAATTTCTTTTCTTACCAACTTGTATGGCATACAAGAAAACTGTTCCCTTATCCTAGATTCAAATTTTTCTTTTATCAGAAACCCTCTTAAATTGCTAAAAACTGACACAAAGTCAGCGTGATTTGTACCATGTAGAATGTATGCTATCCTTACTGACTTAAGTGGCTACTCTATTGTTTTACTAATTGCTTTTTTGGAGACATTTGTAAACCCATCTAGAAATAAATGATATATATATATAGACAAAGAGGATTTACTGAAATATATTGTTCCCATAGAAACTTAAGTATCTATAAATTAAATGAAACAAACTGTTAATAATGTAAAATTTTTTTTTAAAAAAGCCAAAAAAAACCCCCAACAAACAAAGAACGCAGTGAACAAACTTGGAATACCAGAAAATTAACATTACAAGCAAAATATGAAAAGACATCCAAATAACCTTACCATTGTATCTAACATTCCATGTTGTATAATAGATCTAGGTTGACTTCTAGGCACAGCTATATACACTAGGGGATCTGTCTCTGATGAAACCTGTAAAACAAATCCTCTAGACGTTACCTTAAAACTCTTAAACTCAAAGACTTAATTGCTTGTAATAGTTTAATGCTAAAAGTGTATCAGTTATAGATTATCTGCAAGTTACCTAATAATTATAGTGTTGTGGTATAGAACTTTTCACTATTTTTTTCCTGTGTCAGGGGTAAACAAACCTAAAAACACATATTTTTCCAGTATCAGGACTCGGGAGTAAACAAACCTTAAAACACACATTTTTCCAGTATCAGGACTCGGGAGTAAACAAACCTAAAAACACACACTTTTCCAGTATCAGGACTCGGGAGTAAACAGACCTAAAAACACACATTTTTCCAGTATCAGGACTCAGGTATCAGGACTCAGGAGTAAACAAACCTAAAAACACACATTTTTCCAGTATCAGGACTCGGGAGTAAACAAACCTAAAAACACACATTTTTCCAGTATCAGGACTCGGGAGTAAACAAACCTAAAAACACACATTTTTCCAGTATCAGGACTTGGGAGTAAACAAACCTAAAAACACTCATTTTTCCAGTATCAGGAGTAAACAAACCTAAAAACACTAATTTTTCCAGTGTCAGGGGAAAACAAACCCAAACATACACATGTCCACTGATTACTGGAGAAAATGTGTAAGTGGCCAGATAGCTAAATCGGTACAGCATGCCAGGGTCACAGGTTTGTACTTTTTTCTCACCCTTTGACATTTGGCATGCGCCTAGGACCCATAACGATATATGACTTCAGAGACTCTGAGGTGTTCTTTACACCCATGGATAAATTCACTTTAGTTTGGGAGTGTGTCACCATGTAGAAGATCTATTCATTAATTAGAAGAGACTTAAATTATGAATTGTCACGGATGAAGAAATCACATGCATTTTTGTTTAACAAGTTTATATTTTCTTTAATCAACTGTTAACTTAGATAATCACTAAACTGATAAATCATACAAAAAAATGCACAGTGATTCACAAGAAAATATTTTACATACTTCTTGGTACAATGTTTCTTTTTTTGTGCGTTGGGTTTTAATTTTCACCAGCACAGTATAGGTCTATAAATATATTGGTAATTTTCAAGCTTTACAAGTGGAGGAAGACCTCAGACGTTCTTCCATGCATTATCTAAGGCATGAATGGGCACCGATGTAGAACCAAAATCGTTTTGTAAGCTAGCTGGATAGCTTCCTCACCTGAGCTTATCAAAAGTCCCTGTCAGGATTCAAACCAAGTGATTCAAGTGGTTTAAATTCAATGACATAAACCACTCAGCCATGGATGCCCTTTGTACAGTGTCTCAACCTTACTCAAAAACAATAAATGCCTAACTTGTACACATTTATATCAAACCTACCTCGACAAAGTAGACTTTGATCTGTTCAAGGAACTGAAAAATGCTGAGATGCTTATCTGTCTTCATTGCCTTGGAAACGACCTCATCAAAGGTCAACCTCTTAGGATGAGGGTCCTACAAATATGAAATCAAAAACTGTAATATCAGACGTATATTTTGGAACATTCAAGTAGAATTAGAAAGTCCTGATATGGAAATACTGGCATTCATCATATCAATTCAAACATACAAACAAGAGTTGGCACAGGACAGAGTGCTAAAGACTTTCTTCTGTGCTTGATCAAAATCAAGAGATTTGCAGAATTTTTCTAAATTGCTTAAAAGGGTGAAAATTCATTAAAAGTCCATGTAACAATTAAAAGACTTGTTCTGTGACCTACACTGATGCCAAACAAAACAATCATGTTTGTAAATAAAGGATCTGCACATTAAAAGATTATTCAGCGAGTGACCAGTAAAAAGCAATGCAAAGGTTATCTTGGCCAGTGACCCGATATTTTTACCATGAAGACATGGATCATAAATTTAGTAGTTTCAAAAAGCTAATGAGATATGACAGTACAATGTTAGTGGTTAATGTGGCTTAAGTACTTAAGCACTTTTCCATCTGTGAGCTAATTTTCACTCAAACACACTTTTCAGTCATACAATACAATATTCATGAAATATTTACCTTTAACAATTGACATGGGGTCTGCCCAAAGTTGTTGATCATTCCCTCCAATGCTTTTCTTTCATTGACATCTTTCACAGCATCTAGATCTACAGCCCCTGTAAATATATATCATGAACTTTGGGTTTTAATTTCCAACTTCTCTGCAAGTGACAGAATATATTATTTGCTCATCCAATGAGATAAATGACGGTCACATGTTATATATGGATTTCTAAGATCAAACTTATATCTATATCTTATGAAATATTTTTATAAAATTTATCAACTGTAAAAGTTATATTGGTTCCATTATTATATGGTTGATTCCAAAAAAAATTGCAACATAGAATGTCTCTGTTATTTAATACACATGAATAATGTACGTAAACAGAATAAAATTGTCCGGTACAAAATATTATTTTGCTATTTTAAGTAGGGTTTTATCTATTTAGCAACAGTTTTGTGCATGGCCATTCGCTTTTAAGGCAATAAATTATCATATTTATTTCATACAAGCATTTTGGAAGTATATTTTTTATAAAATTCAAGCAATAATTTTTGCATCAGATATAATTATAGCTTTACACACTTTAAAATTGGTTCAGTTTTCATGACTTTGGACAGTCATTTCAATGAACTTGGTTATCAAAACACTGAAATTAAGCATCCAAAAGTAAAGAGTTTGGTCAGACAGCACAGGCCTACTCATTGACCTGTCTCTACCCTGGTGGCAATAATCTGTTACAAAAGATGTTAACTGTGTAAAAGTTAAAATTCAAACCTTCATATGTACAATAGTAGAACACATTGAGGGCCTCCACTGCGGCTGGACCTTTCTGTTTATATCCAAATATCAGATCTATCCAATTATGAAGATTATTGGACACATATTCAGATTCCTGAAGAAAAAAACACCATACCAATCACTTATCAATACTGAAACAAAGTTATTACATGTATTTGACCATTCAAAAAAATTGTAGCAATCCAATTTTATTATTGGTCTCCTGAATATTTTTTAGAAATCTAATTCAATTATTTGTCTCATGAAAAAATTGTAGCAATCAAATTTTATTATTGGCCTCATACAAAATTGTAACAATCCAATGATATTTATCATTGGCCTCTGGAAATCTTCATAATAATCTTAGGTAAATATTTGACACACAAAAATAATATCAATATGAAATATAGTAAATAACTGGACTCCATGTAAAAGACATTACATTAAATATATTACATTCAGTTAAATCTATAACCAAAAGTGTGTATTTCCTTATGGATATAAATTCATAAATCAGAATATAAGACCCTGGCAACCATTACATAAAATTCTAAAAATGCTCTGTATAATATACATGTATCTGATTTCTATAGAGATTAGTTTAATAATCTTTTTTGTTGGGTTTACATCCACAAAGACACTGTTTAGGTCACATAGCAACTTTGCAGTACTTACATGGATACTGTAAACAATAGTTATTTTCATTTTTCCTCCAGTAAAGGAATTTTACTTTATTATTTATTATTTATTATGTCTTCTGACAGGTTATATGACCATATATAAACATTTATTTGCAATATAACCCTCCCCTGGTGGAAATTGTTATATAACCTTACAACTGCTTGCACTGGGCCATATAATCTGTGAAAAATCTTTATAACTATAATATGACCAGAATTATGTGAGACCTCGCTTTTTTTCAACTTACCAATGCTTTCCTATGTTTGTATATAAAATCTTCTGGTGTCTCTGCCCACTTTGGTAATATAACATTATCAACAACTTCCCTTGAAATCTGCAGCTTCCCAAGGTCAAATTCTACATGCAGAAATACAAACATAAAATCAGTCAAATCATTTATTTCACTAATGCTTAAAGGGACTCTACTGAGGTTTTTTGACATAACACAGACTGAAGATATCTTTTTGAACTCTTGTTCCCTTGATATAGATCTGGACCAAAAACTTGTGTACAAAATTTCATATTATTAGCTCCATTTCTTCTTTAATAATACATGTAATCTGTATTGTGAAAAATGACCCAAAATGAAACGCATTTTAACACATTTTATTCTGAACAGGCTAAGACACAAACAGAAAAATACTTTAAGATTTAATTCTGATTGTCTTTTTTTATTATCTTTTGCATGTATTTCTATTTTTATTTCTGTTTAAAAAGCCTTAATTGATCAATGTAATTTTTTTCAATATTTAAATATCTAGACTTTTTGATATCAGTGAGGTTCCTTTAACCCTTTTAAAGCTAAAATAGAATAAAGTAATAGTAAATTATGTTTAATTTGGGAAAGCACAAAGGGGACATTCTTAGTTCAAATCCTTAGAAATACAGCTTATGACCCTTTACTGATGCTAAGACATTCTATGCTGTGACTTAAATGTTCAGGGAATATCCAATAACATTAAAATGAAAACATTTTCCAAAACAAACCTATATGTATTTGCAAAACAGTGAAACACACGTTTTATAATGAGGGAAAAACGCATAAAACATGGAAATTACCATTTTGATTCACCAGGAATTCAGGTAGATAGAAGAATTCTGGTATGAGTTCTTTGACATCATTTGGATTGTTGTACATAGACTTCCATGTGCCTGGTACTGAATGAAACTGTCTGTCAGCCACATCAAATCTGGTAAAATAGTTTATAGTAGAGAGATGATAATAACATTTAAAATTATTCCATTATGGCATTTTTATCTAAAAAGAACCAATGGCATAGATACATTTAAGTGTCGATATAGACAGCTACCATAAAAATTTACAGTGCACAAGTTCCCATCAAAATCAAAGGGCAAAGTAAAAATATGTAAATATCACTACTTCTATTCTGTAAGAGACTACGCAAAAAGGTAAATATCTTACCATATTGAGGCTACAGGTTATATGTTTAATATATGATATGCTATATAAGAAAACGTGGTAAATATTTATGCCTAACCTCTGTAGGGCACTATGAAATGTGGTAAATATATTGCCTCAACTCTGCAGGGCAATCTGAAATGTGGTAAATACATATGCCTCATCTCTGCAGGGCACTATGAAATGTTGTAAATATATTGCCTCAACTCTGCAGGGCAATATGAATTGTGGTAAATATTTATGCCTAACCTCTGCAGGGAAATATGAAGAGAGGTAAATGTATTGCATCAACTCTGCAGGGCAATATGAAATGTGGTACATATCTATATATCTTACCTTCCACTTTGCAGGGAAATATGTAATGTGGTAAATGGTTCCATCCGGATCATGTAATGCATGACTGTCGCAGAGTTAGAATAGTGAGTGCCGTAGTGGAACTTCTCTATCACACCAGTAGGGTCCTCAAAATGATCAAACCTGGTAGAAACAAGCAAATTCGTTGAATTTATATCCCCCGCCGAGTACTAGTTATTATTAACACAACAACTGAAGACATAAGGCTTTATTTATATATTAATCATGGCATAAACAGTAATATTCTTTGAACTTGATAAATATTCAGGGCAATAACAGAGCAATAACTTTGTGTTAAATAGTAAAATCTGGAAATGCCAATGAGATGTATGCATACTACATAACTAATCAAGGGCCATAAATCTGAGTTATAAGTATCTGACTGGAACAAGGCGACTATATGCACATCTCCTCTTAGTATCCCATAAAGTTTCATTGAATTCTAGCCAGTAGTAGCAGAGAAGTAGCGAGGAAACAAATATTTTTCTCTATGGATACTGCATAACTAATCAAGGGACAAAACTCTGAGTTAAAGTGTCTGACCGGAACAAGTTGATGATATGCGCATCTCCTCTTGGTATTGAAGGTTCCCATAAAGTTTCGTTGAATTCCAGCCAGTAGTTGCAGAGAAGTAGTGCGGAAACGATTTTTACTCTATATGCATACTACATAACTAATCAAGGGCCATAACTCTGAGTTAAAGGGTCTGACTGGAACAAGCCCACGATATGCGCATCTCCTCTTGATATTGATGATTCCCATAAAGTTTCGTTGAATTCCAGCCAGTAGTTGCAGAGATGCAGAGAACTACTCCGGAAACGATTTTTACTCCATATGCATATTGCATAACTAATCAAGGGCCATAACTCCGAGTTAAAGTGTCTGACCCGAACAAGCCGACGATATGCGCATCTCCTCTTAGTATTGAAGGTTCCCATAAAGTTTCATTGAATTCCAGCCAGTAGTTGCAGAGAAGTAGCGTGGAAACGATTTTTACTCCATATGCATACTGCATAACTAATCAAGGGCCATAACTCTGAGTTAAAGTGTCTGACCGGAACAAGCCGACGATATGCGCATCTCCTCTTGGTATTGATGATTCCCATAAAGTTTCGTTGAATTCCAGCCAGTAGTTGCAGAGAACTACTCCGGAAACGATTTTTACTCTATATGCATACTACATAACTAATCAAGGGCCATAACTCTGAGTTAAAGTGTCTGACCGGAACAAGCCGACGATATGCGCATCTCCTCTTGATATTGATGATTCCCATAAAGTTTCGTTGAATTCCAGCCAGTAGTTGCAGAGAACTACTCCGGAAACGAATTCGGACGGACGGATGGACGGACGGACGGAAGTTCTCACAGGACAGTAATTATGTGGCTACTCTATTGTTCTCTCTATTGTTCTTTTTAGCCACACAAAAGAAAATAGCCACATAAAAGCATTACGGAATGAATGACATCAAAGAGAAAGAACAGTTACCTATTGTCCCTCTAGCCACATAATTACTCTCCTGTGAGTGCGGACGGACCGACGGACAACTCCAAAACTATATCCCCCTCCCGATTCCATCGGCGGGGGATAATAATAAATGATGTAAGGGAAGGTAGATGGATTAAGTTCAATGATATAGAATTAAATTTAAACTCTGCAAAAATGTGTGTTGGTTTGACTTGGGAAAAATTCATTATTTATACTATGGACAACTCAATGAAATTTTCAAATAATTTCTTTATACATGTATATTTCTTAATTATCTTTTGCTTATCATTCTGTTTTAAGTGCCCCAGTTGATCTTTATAAGAAATAAAATTTTATGCTTTCAGGCTTTTGGACCTAAGTGGAGTTCCTTTAAGACTTACTTTTCTCTCACTTCCTCCTCATTACGAGGGTTTAGAGCACCAACTGGTTTTGATAAATCTCGAAATACTGATGCGTTGTCTAAATCAAGAGTATCCGATGTATAATCTGACAGTATCCATGGAAACTGAAAATATGATACACGGAAACATTTTTAAAATATTTGCAATTTATCCTTGCAAAGGATAATGAAAAAATTTCTTGTCTTAAAGTATTCACAGAATAAAAATCGAGACATATAAAAAATTTTTTTTTTAAATTCTATGCCAATTATGTTTTACATTTTGAAATTTTTGTTCATGACGTCATATGACATTGATGTCATTTCCTGTAAACAAGTATTCCCAATGAAGACTTTGGAAATGTTGTGTTTTTTAATTAAACAATACATTTCTAAATTAAACTGGAGTTTAAGCTGCTTTCTTTTTTCAAATTTACATATTTCCATCTTAAAATTTCTAAAGTTAATTTAAAAAAAAAATGTGTTTTTTTGTTTGTTTTTTCTCTTTTTTTCCGATTCGCATGATTCTGTTGTTCTGTTTAGCTCTATATAAACAGTAAATTATCAGCATTACAATAAATGAATCTAAAACAATACTTCACTCACCACAGGGTACTGACTCAAGTCATTATAAGTCCTTCCTGCTATTGTGTTCAACTGCATCAGGTACTCAAAATTACTAATCTCACGCTGGACCCATTTCTAAAATATTTCAATGAATCAATAAAATTATAGTATAAATACACTGTCCATATAAACATTAAATTATGTATATATTCTCTTCCATAAATTTTTTTTTAAAAAATCTCAGAATAAAGTTAATTCATATTGTTTGGTTCACCATCCCAGATTCCCTGATAGTCTGGGATTGTCCCGTAGTTATGCAAGGTTGTTTCGTATGCCTGGGTGCCCTTAATGTTGGATTGTCCCAGACGTCTGAAATTGTCCCCAAGTAATGTCCAAAATGATTATGACCGACTAAAAATGTCAAATATTGTCAAAGATAAGGAATGCCAGTTTTTTTTTATAACAATTCAATAGCTTGAATGAAGTTCATTATAAATGAAATGTATAATCATTACATACCTGACTAAGGCCTGATGCCTTCAAAAGTTCAGCAGGAGACCGTGACCCATAATAGATCAAATTTGGTGGCCTTAGACCTAAAATACGACTGTACACTTTGTTTCTGACCTGAATTACACAAGTAAAATAATCTTCACCACATAGATTCAATAAAAAAAAATCAAACTTTTCAATTAATTTCTTAACCATAGACACAAAATTTAATGTTGTAAATTAGGAAAAATTTGCCAGAGACGTTATAAAATTTTGACATCTTACAGCAATTACCTTTTTCTGAAAGTTGAGGAAATAATTGGTCTGGTCAATGAGGAACATCTCAATGGCTGATCTCCGGAGATTGTACCTTCGGAAGTGTATTTCACGCAGCTGAGGTAAACCCCACTTGAAATCTTCTCCACCTACATTTAAAAAAACTCTTTATTTTATTGCCATAATAGTGTATTGAAATTTCCTTTAAAAAATGCTAACAAAAATCTATCAAATACAATTTACCTTATAAAGAAACATTGATTGGTAATAGGGCCATTACCTATCATAGTATTTTTTATATCAATCAAGCCATAATTTTTATCTAAACATCACTATTAGTGAAATAAGAGAATTTAGGGGAAAAACAAACACAATGTTGACAATTACCTCCCTTGATTTGAAAAAAAATAATGTTTGTTAAGAATTACCACCCTTGATTGGTGCTTGGGTAAAATGTCAAGCCATACTATACAATACAGGTTACATGTCATAAATGAACTTAACTGGAGCCAAACAATTATAGTAAACCTTTCAACAGCATATATGGACCATTTATCTTATGTATACATGTTGGCTTTTTCTAGGAAAGTGGTAAAAATTTTATGAAACATTAGCGCAGTGAGCACCAGTCCTTGACCTTGAATTTTCACCATTTCATTACCCATGTATAATTCAATGAACTAAAATATTCATACCTTCATCTCTAGTGTTACTGCAGTCAAAGAAATAGACATGGGTTGTTGTGACCTCTAGACGACCTTTGATGACCTCAACCAAGGTCACAAGTTCACATTCTTCAGACAACACAAGCTTTTCTTTGTCTTGGTATTCCTCAACATTGGTACTGTAAAAGACAAATATATGATTATGAAGTAATTTACACACATGACTCTTTAATTTTTACGATGGATTGAGACCTATGTTTTTTACATTATTTTAATATTTTGCTTCCGTTTTAAGACACACAGACATTGTAAGAGTGTTTTTATGACTTACAAGCTTTACTGGTGAAAGTAGACCTCTGCTTACACTCTTTGCATTATTTCAGGCATAAGTTGGCACCTGACTAGAACCATTGGGGTTCTTTTAGTTAGCTGGAAAAAACTTCCTCACATGAAAGAATCCTAAAGACTATGGCAGGATGTGAACCAACAGAGTAGAGGAACAAGCGGTTTGAAGTTTCAACAACTTGGCCACAGAAGACCCCTACTCATTTTAAATGAAAAGCCTATTAAATACTTAAACTCAGCTTCAGAAACAGACTGGATTTATTCAATAGTAATGCACAAACTTCATTATTTAAATCTAAAGTAAGTTTGTTTTTTTCCACACCCTAAACATGTTGAGTAGGTGTCATGAACATGCCAAGTTTTGCATTTAAGTTAAATTGGTTTAACCATATTTTAGCTCAATTGGTAGACCATTAAATTTGTAACCCATCACTTAGATTCTCAACTGACTAACTAAAAGGTGAAAAGTTGCAATGTGAACTTCCTAGTGACAAAGTAATTGTCACAGTGACTATGTGACTTAAACTAAACATTTAAAAAAATAACTAATCCAAAACAATGTCTTACTGACCTTTGTGCATTCATCACATTCCAATCTTCATCTCCTATCCCATCATCCCCTATGTTCTCCTTGGATACCAGAGCTTCCTTAGCAACCATGAGTTGCTTGATTTCATCCATGAAAACATTATCTTCAACACCTGAAATATCAAACTGTATTCTATATCACACGTAAAAGCAGCCTGCTTCTTAATTGAACTGTCAAATGTTTTGGGGTTTTTTGTTTGGTTTGGTTTTACCGCACACCAACACTATTAAGGTCATATGGTGCTGCAACTGGAAAAACTAATTTGGCTTACCTCAGGTGTTACACACTTAAAGCAACACCAGGGGTTGAAACCTACTCACTTGCTGGAGCTAAATGATGTATAGACTCCACTAACTTAAACCCATTTAGCCCTTACAATCAAGTAGGGATCAATGTTGGCTACAATTCTGATGCCTAAACACTTAAAGGCAACACCTCAGCAACAAGGAATGTATTTACTGTATTAAATACTAGAACAACATATTCATTATTGAACAGTTGTGTTTATATTGTGTTTCCTGACTAATGTTCAATGAAAAATGCCATTTAACAACAAAAGAGAATCTTCATTTTTACTAGTTTTTAAAATATATCTATTTTTATTTTACCCTCATACATGCAGTGTTAAGGTTCGTCTGTAAAGTGCAACCAATTTTGACAAAAATTAACTCCAAAAATGTAGCTTTCAACATTAAGCCCCTTCTCTTAACAACTGCATGATAAGCAAGTATTCCACATTGATAGTTTTTTAATGTTTGAAAAATTGGCCACACTAAATTTTTAGCATGACAATGATGACAATAACACCAAAAATGCAGTGATCATTATAGTTCACCTTTTTTGCCAAACATACAAGGAATAAATACTTTGGCAAAACTTACCCAGATTATCTCTCAGCATACTGGCCTCTCTGTGTAAATCAAAGTTATAATTCTGTATCAGTTTAACTTTCATACGAGAGAAATTCTCCTGGTTTGATAGCTTCCAATGTAAACCTGGCCTGTCCCTAAAATAATACATCAAAATATTTGATTTTTTTGACAATGGAAACTACTAACATAATAAAATACAAGAAGTATGTTACAAATCCATAAAAACATAATCAAAACAAGATTGCATTTAAGAACAAGGAACATCGCAATGCGATGCAACCAGGTTTTCAGCAAAATATTTCACAGAAGCTTCGTCATGCAGGGGCATTTGTTTTAAAGTGAACACCGCCCGCCCACCCAAAATCACAAAACCCAGATGATATGAACAAGGACTCTTGATGAGAAAGCTTCTGTGAAAGTTTGTCAAAATAGTTTGTAGGAAGAGGTGTGCAAATAAGAATTTGTTCACTTTATATTCTATATATGGAACAAAAACAATATATTTCTATATAAGGGAAAAAAATAAATGGCAATAATTAGGTCAAACATTATCAAATCTCATAACCCTGACAACATGCAGCAAGAGTTGATGACAAAGCTTCTGTGAGAGTTTTGTCAAAATCCCTAGAGAATTGTAGGAGTTGCGCACAGAATTGCACAGAGAAGAAGTGTTCACTATATATATTCTGTATAAGGAAAAAAAACAAAGGGCCATAATTAGGTAAAAAATTATCTAATCACAAAACCCCGACAATATGTGCTATGGCACTTGATGACAAAGCTTCTGTGAAAGTTTGGTCAAAATCCGTTGAGAAATGTAGGAGAAGTTGCGCACTGTAGAAATTGTTCACTATTATATTCTGTATAAGGAAAAAATACACAAAGGGCCATAATTCGGTAAAATATTATCCAATCACAAAACCCCGACAATATGTGCCAGGCACTTGATAACAAAGCTTCTAAGAAAGTTTGGTCAAAATCCGTTGAGAAATGTAGGAGGAGTTGCGCACAGAAGAAATTGTTCACTATAATATTCTCTATAATGAAAAAAACAAAGGGCCATAATTAGGTTCAATATATACCAATTGCAAAACCCTGACAATATGTGTCAGGGCACTTGATGACAAAGCTTCTGAGAAAGTTTGGTCAAAATCCGTTGAGAAATGTAGGAGGAGTTGCGCACAGAAGAAATTGTTCACTATATATTCTATATAAGGAAAAAAAAACAAAGGGCCATATTTAGGTCAAATATTATCTAATCGCAAAACCCCGACAATATGTGCCAGGGCACTTGATGACAAAGCTTCTGTGAAAGTTTGGTCAAAATCCGTTGAGAAATGTAGGAGAAGTTGCGCACAGAAGAAATTGTTCACTATATATTCTATATAAGGAAAAAAAACAAAGGGCCATAATTAGGTCAAATATTATCTAATCGCAAAACCCGACAATATGCGCCAGGGCACTTGATGACAAAGCTTCTGTGAAAGTTTGGTCAAAATCCGTTGAGAAATGTAGGAGGAGTTGCGCACAGAAGAAATTGTTTACGCCCGCCCGCCCGTCCGCCCATCCGCCCGCCCGCCCACCCGCCCGCCCGCCCGCCCGCCGACATACCTCAATCTAATAACCAGTTTTTTCCTTCGGAAAACCTGGTTAAAAATGCTATGCCACCGCATTAACACCTAAGCTCTAGGCCTTTTGGGTCTTTACAAGAAGGTATTTTAAGTTTTTGAAGCCTTGTACCATCAGACAATAAGATTTCTTTTGATTTTTTACTATATGTATATATTGAAAATCAATGACCCTCGGGGCGGGGGCAATTTTGACCCCAGGGCTTTAATTTGAACAATCTTGCTAGAGGTTTACTACACAATGTTTCATGCAAAATATCTAACCTCTAGCATTTGCCAATTGCTAGAAGAAATTTTTTTAAAGTTTTTACTATAAGTTTTTACTATATACATATAAGGAAAACCAATGACCCCCGGGGCAGGGCCGATTTTGACCCCAGGGCTATAATTTGAACAATCTGGGTTAGGTAGAGGTCTACCTCACAATGCCTTATGCAAAATATCTAAGCTCTAGACCTTTTGGGTCTTTACAAGAAGGTATTTAAAGTTTTTACTATATGTACATATAGTGAAAATCAATGACCCCCGGGGCGGGGCCGATTTTGACCCCAGGGCTATAATTTGAACAATCTTGGTAAGGGTCTACCAGACAATGCCTTATGCAAAATATCTAAGCTCTAGGCCTTTTGGGTCTTTACAAGAAGGTATTTTAAGTTTTTACAATATGTACATAGAGTGAAAAACAATGACGCCCGAGGCGGGGCCGATTTTGACCCCAGGGCTATAATTTGAACAATCTTGGTAGAGGTCTACCTCACAATGCCTTTTGCAAAATATCTTAGCTCTAGGCCTTTTGGGTCTTTACAAGAAGGTATTTTAAGTTTTTACGATATGTACATATAGTGAAAATCAATGACCCCCGGGGCAGGCTGATTTTGACCCCAGGGCTATAATTTGAACAATCTTGGTAGAGGTCTACCAGACAATGCCTTATGCAAAATATCTAAGCTCTAGGCCTTTTGGGTCTTTACAAGAAGATTTTTTAAATTTATTCTTATAATTCCTTTTGGTTGCCATGGCAACCAGATTTCTGCATGGAATGAAATTCTTTGAACAACTTTGGAAGCCCTTCACCCAAGGATCAATCCTGCCAAGTTTGGTTGGAACTGGACTAGTGGTTTTTCACAAGAAGATTTTTTAAGTTCACTATATAATCTATATAACACACAAACAAACAAACACACACACACACAGGTGAATCGCTATATGCCACCGCATCGCAGATGCTGCGGTGGCATAAAAACAAATCTTTTCATTTCTTACATCTAACATCAATACAGTGGCAAAGCTAAATCCCTCCTTAAAAACAGTTTTATTTTTTTGTTCATTATTTACCCCCTCTGGTAAGGTATCCCTTTTTTTACGTCCCAAATGTCTATAAATTGCACAAAATAACCCTAGTAAAACATAGAAACCCTACCTTCCAGCCCAAGCTCCCCTCTCACCAGTAAAGAATCGTTTTGCTGCTCTCCATTGTTTCAGGGCAGCTGCGTGCTGATTACGTAACTGTGTTGTCACATTCTGAAACCGTTTCTCCTCATTGCTTACTTTCTTGTTGTACACATCTAATACCTGGCTCTATAGAATATAGTGAAACTTGTTTATTCTGGCTATATTCAATTAAAACAAATGAATATAAAGGATTTTTTCTCTAGTTGTATTAATCCAATTTATTTACACGATGGAACTGGAAATCATTTTTTGAGATTAATGTTCCGTTTGATAAAGATTGAGACCAATAACATGTGTGCAAAATTTCTTATCATTCGCTCTCTCCGTTTTCCTAGAATAATTATTCTACTTGTAAAAATGACCTAAAATTGAAAAGCGTTACAACTCTTAACGCCAATTTGGCATATAATAGCACATAATATGATTTTTAATTTATTTCTGAATATATTTCTAAATTATCTTTTGAATAATATTTTTTTGTAAAAATTTTTCTTTTGTTACACATAAATATATACGGTCGTCCTCAGATCTACAGGAAGTAAATAAGGAAAATCTGAACTTTTGTCAGATTGACAACCGTGCATGAAAAATGATACCATACCTGAAACTTAAGTTTACTCTCGCCGTGTTCACGGTTACGTTTATGCATGTTTATCATCATTTCTTGCTGACAGTTGGACCAGAAATCGGCTATTTTATTCGTCAAGTCCATAAATACGTTCTCTGTAAAATGCTGCTTCTGTGGCTCAACCTGAAGAGAATACAGTGGATTTAACTCACTACAGTGTTTGAGCAGTATCTCTAGATATAATAAAGATATTAGTGGCAGGGGTTACATTGCAAACAACCATTTATATAGGGCCGTATAACCTGTCAGGAATCTTTATAAAGAATTTATAATATAGCAATGTAATATGCGCCAGTACTTGAGCTACAGATGAATCCTGTAAATATCTTTATAAAGAATTTATAATATAGCAATGTAATATGCGCCAGTACTTGAGCTACAGATCAATCCTGTAAAGTTTCATTGAAATTGCGTCAGTGGTTTAATAGAAGTAGTCCAGACAAACTTTAGAAATAGAAATCATTAAAGAGCAATAACTCTGACATCATTGAAGCGGAAAATGCCAAGGATATGCACAACTAGACTTGGTACTGATCATTCCTAGAAAGTTTGGAAGAAATAACACCAGTAGATTCTGAGGAGTAGTCCGGACAAGTTTTGTGACGGACGGACGGACAGACAGACAACGGATAAGTGATCCCTGTATGTTGCTATTACTCCATAGAGGCAAAACAAAAAGTGAGATGTCTTCATAACAAGATAGCAGCCATGTATATAAAACTATAAAAATGTAACTTATCTAATGAAAAGTGACATTACAAAACATGCAGTATTATAATCTTACATAATTTTCGATGAAGGTGGTCCACTCCTCTGTCTTACAGTACGTTTTGAAATCATCGAAGAAAGTTGGGCTCATCATTGTCGAAGGTAAGTTTGGCAAATTTAAATCGAGATTCAGAAGCTGGTAGGATTTATCAATCAACGCCTTCATTACAGGTATCAGGAAACTGTAGTTGTCCGTCTCATCTACAGATACAAATATTATGATGTAAATTTGAACATAAAACACTTCAAGTACCTTCGAACCTCATCATTGGATACCCACGATTGATAAACATGTCACATAACATGCAATCAACCGTTGGTAAAATGTCTTTGACACACCTCTTATTGACTGAGTATCGGCAAATATTCCAACGGCTGATGAATGTTAATGGTTTGGCTGTGGGTATCCAACGATGTCAAACCTGTGCTCTATAGGTACCTCTGAATCAAGACATACTATTATAGTTAAACCTGTTGATAATTACAATTTTAACTGTCAAAATAAAAACTTACTAAATAACAAACAGAGCAAACAATGATCACATGACATAAATAAGCTGGCTGATGTTGGTTAACACTGGTCAAATGGGTAGAATAACATGTAGTTGCCACCAGAAGGCTGAAGGTTCAATAACTAATTAAGATTAATCTACCAAAACAATGGAAAGCACTGGTACAGAAAATGGAAAAACTCCTCAAGTATCTTAAAGTGTATGTGATAGCTCAAACGATATGGTACATTTTGTGCAAGATTACAATAAATCACCTTTTCATTTATTTGTTTTTTTATGCCTATTTCAACAGATTTTTGGTCATTCATCACTGGGCTTGCAAAATCCAATTTTGACTTGTTTGTCCTTTTTAAATCCAAGTATTTCTTAACTTATCTGTTCATTATTAATTTTTGAAATTTCCACTTGTCCATACAGGCTGTGGGACAACCTGGACAATATGGACAATTTATTTTGCCACCCTGTTCCTCAGTTGTAGGTCCACCTAACCAAAGTTTCCTAGATAACTTACCAGTAATTACCAATATAACTATCTACAAAAGAGACGAATCAACTTACCATCTACTGCCTTCACTATCACAATGTTTAGATGACCTATGAGGTAAGCCGCCTCAGCAGAACTAGAAATCAGTTTCGTCTGTACCAACATGTGAAGTCTCGCTGTAGCACTGGCACATAACTAGAGAGGAAATAAACATTATAACAACTTATGACTTATAATTTTTATGACTGCATAAAATATTGAGCACTGCCATATGTCTATATCTAAAAGTTATTATACACTAAAAGGTTGTTGGTATAACATGACAATGCAAATAAACAACATTGAAAAAGGGTAGTGCATACCTGAAACTAACTGTTGTTAAAAAAGTTTAAGACTTGTTAAAGACTTTGTCATGGGTTCCTCTCATATAAGTTTTTGTTATAAAAAGTTGCAAAGGCTCAAACATGACTGAGGAGTAGAATTCCACTATTCTTTAAATAATAAGCATGGCTTTTAAACATAAAAGATGTAACACAACAGGTTTTAAACACATAACATGTAAATTATTACTTGAATCTTTTCTTTTTTTTTCTCCTAAAATCTTAGCTTATTTTTGTTTAATTTATCTTTGTTGAAATACTTTTTGTTCATCTGGAAGCATGCAGCTTTCAAGCTTTCTTTACAAACAGGTTAAAATAAATATGCCTACACTAATGGCTGACATAAGACACAGTAGGAGAGTCCAAATTTCTTCAAATAGTTATGCCAAAAAAGTAGTTCCATCAAAACATGTTTTGAACCCATACCTCTAACTTGTTGTTTTGAGCAAAAGCCACTATCACACTTAAACCAAGATGAACCATTTCCTGCCAGCCTGCTCCACTTGGTACATCCCACACTGCTAAACTATCCAATAAACTCATTACATCCTCCAGTAACTGAAACAATGATTATATAGAAGATATTTGTATAATTAAGTGTAAGATCTGAATATATTTCACTGAGTGAGCACCAAAAGGTATATTTCACAAGTGGCGCAGCCACAAGTGAAATATGAACTTTTGATGTTCATGAGGTGAAATATATTTCAACGTTATGAGGTGAAATATATTTCAATGTTACACAAATCTAAACATATTTTCCTTTTATTTCATTCTAAGAAATGTTTAAAAAGACATTTCAACCTTACACTATATGAAAAGCGCGCCAAATAAAAATACAACGTGACTCTATTACGACGTCATGTTATTCAGCTGGTTTCCAGTACTGTGCATGCGGGTATTTCACTGAAACAACGTAACGGGCTTAAATTAAAAACAGTGAAAAATACCAAATTGATATTTTCACTGTTTCAACAGCAAGTTCAATAAATTAAGTATTGTGATTACAAGAATATGATATTCTATTTATCACATACCCAAAATAAGAACGGTTCACAGAATAAGTCATTTTTCATTTACACCCATTCCGTGTAAAGCTAACATAAGCACACTTTTATGCTATGTTTGTATAACATAAATTATGTCATGCTGCATAGTTATCACACTTATGTAATATTGTTTACAGTGTATCACTTTATTACACTCCTGTACCATAGTTTACATGATAAAATTGCATATTTCTGACATTACTACACAATTAACACTAGTTTGTTCATAATTTAAAGGCCCATTGTGCCTCAGAAATGCTTTTATTATTATTACACAAAAGCTTTTAATTTTGGTGTACTTTTATAGTATACAAACTAAGTTACTCATTACCTAATTACCGGAACAATGTATTTTCATCTGATGCTTTAATGGCAATTAGAAGAGTTAAAGTGAATAAGTATTTTGTTTACATTTTGCTACTTTTATAACAAATTAAGTCACATTTATCAGTAATTTTTTCATGTAACAAGCATCTAACATTTCTCGTAAACACAATTAAATTCAAGTTTGCCTTTTCTAAAGTAGTAGAAATCATTTGTTTCCGAGACATAATGAGCCTTTAAGAATAATTGCGTTTTTTCACATATAATCTCTATGGATGAAAGCTACAACAGTACTTTTTTATAATTTTACCACAACAGGTATATTGTCTGTCTACCTACCATTTCACTGTACATCTGTCCATCCATGCTGGCTTCATTCTTAAAGAGGGAGTATCTGACCAACCGTACCAGCTCAATAGCATTTTCCATATACGACTGTGATGAGTGACCTGTCAATATAAGAAATAAATTGTAATGTGAAATAAATTGTAATGTGTTTGATTGAAACATTATAATGTTTCCATAATAATAATTACTGTAAGAAGAACATTTATCATTCCATTTAATATGATAAGGCCATTCATAAAATTATTTATATTGTTTCTATGAATTAATAAAGATTACTGCTACAGAACATTATTACAATTCAACATGTTTAAGCCATTCAAATGATATTTTATGGGGAGAGTGTTTGCCTAATTCACAAACTGGGACTTCAACTGAAGTCCCAAAAGTCAAAAACATCATAGGGAAATTTGGGAAATTTCTTTACAACTTATCGGCTGGGGCACTTAAAAACGCTTTAACGCATCTGCCACAAGATTATTTAAGAAATACATGTATAACCCCAAAGAAATTATATAATTTTAAAAATCGTTTATTTTTTAGTTATTCTTTAGGCTGATATTGAATGAAAAAAATGTTACAACGCTAAATTCAGTTTTACCGTTGATTTTTCCACAACTAGAATTTATATTCTGGGGGGAAACAGTGAGCGAAATGATCTGAAAATTTTTGCACAAAGTTATTAATTTCTAAGACATTAAAAACAAAGGAGAGCAATTAAAATCTCAAAAAATTATTACTCCAGTTTTCCTAATCATGCAAAAAAAACCTACAGTGGAGTCCTTTTAAAATTGATCTACCTTCTATACCCAGGGGTTTTTGGGGTTTTAAAAACTACTATGTATTGATCTTTTTTTTTCCACTCTTTGTGTGTTTTTTTTCATTTTAGCCAACTTCAAAAATATTTCTCAAAAATTTAAAAATAGAATGCTTAGGTTTAATGGTCAGCCCCTTTTTAACCTTTAAGTCTTTTAAAAAAATCATTAAAAATTTAAAATTTTTTTACCAGCAAAACTTTTTATATCTGTGGGACAAAACAAAGGGAACATCATCTCTAACAGTCGTCTCTTTAACTTTGGCTACTGGACACATCAGCCCCATTGGTCTGACTTTATATTTGGGAAGCCATTTCAAACACCTGGAACCCCTCTCCTTTAAAAAAAACCCTTAAAAAAAAAAGGGTTTCCCTTTTAATACCCCAAATTTAAAACATGTACCAAATTTAAAAACAAATATGAAAATTTTTGAGTTTTTTTTTTCTGTTTTACTTTTTTTCTTTCAATTTAAATTATGTTGCTTTAAATATTATGAAAATTAAAAATAAATCTTTTTCACCAAGAGACCTGTTGTCAAAAACAGGCCCAATCAGACAGGGCCTGCATTTTTTTCAATTATGCCTGTTTTGGCATTCTTTAAGGTTTCTATTTTATTTTATTTTTGCCTTGTTCAAACAGATTGTTAGGAAGCACATTGTTTCAACTTAATATTGACATGTTGTATGCTCTTATCTTCCTTACTCATAACAAAATTTTTAATACAAAACATGATACTATTTGCAAAATGAAAAGCATATCTCACATTCAAAAATACATAAGAATTTTTTTTTTCACCTTCCATGCAGCTTCATCGGAGCCTTCTACACCCTTCCACATTACTGTATACAATATAATCAGCAGATTCTGACACAACTCTTCCGAATTCTCTACCACATCCATCAGAAAACTCCCTCGTAGTCCTAGACTATTCAACATCCTGTGCGTGTTATTCTGATGCCAAGATGATGACAGGGAATCCCGCCTCATTTCCACCTCTTCCGCTAAATCTATCCCACTTTCACTTTGAGAGAGTTGTGATATTGACGATGAACTTACATCTTTTTCAAGCGATTTTCGTTCTGCGGCTCTTTGAGCGATGGTGCTTAAATCCTCCGCGCTAGCGCTTGAACTCCGACTCATCGGCTGAATATAGTCATCAGGACCGGAGGCTCCAAGATCTCCGAAAAGTTGAGATTTTAGATAGAGAGGGGTAGATGGTGTGTTGAGGGAAGATGAGAAGAATTCGACACTTTCTTTACGAGTTGCATCACCTCCTGGGCTTAAATTTAGATGCATTGGAGGGGACGGTTTTTGAACACTTAATTCCTTACTACTATCACAATTTTCCTTATCACTCTTTTGATCAATTTCACTATCACAGTTATGGCCGTTAACAATGTTGTTAGGTGATATTGCACTTATACCTCGAGGAGAATCATAATCTCTTAACAAAGGACTTTTCTCTACATTCTGCTCAGAATCGTCTCCCTTTGAACAGGTTTCATCAGAGTCGCCTCCCTTTGTTCTATTTTCATCACAGTCTGCCTGTTTCTCCATGGTTATATCACAGTCAAACACGTCAAGGTCACTTGTTTCCATGGAGATAGGGCGGAGAATAAAAAGTTTAGAAAGAGCTTCCTGCCATCCTAACTGTTTGGCGAAACTTTTCGCACCACCGTTTTTTGACACTAATATTGACAGAATTTGGCGGCTAGCTTCTAGTTTAATATCAAATCCACTAGTATATATCAACTGTAATACAGCTAGTACTGCGTTGTAACTCTGAGGATTATCTGAAACAAAAGAAGAAAATGAAAAAAGTTTTTCATTTTTTTTTTTTTTCATTGCTTTTTATTTCACTCCTACAATGTAAAGGTCAAATGGTGACATTCCAGTTTTACTGATGGAGGAAGACCTGAAGTGCCCATCCATGCATTATGTAGAACCACAAACATACAGTTAGCTAACTGGACAGCTTTCTCTCATGAAATTCAAAGCCCCCGGTAGGATTCAAACCTAAAGCTATGAAGGGCAAGTGGTTTGAAGTCAACATTACCTTAACCTCTGTGCCATGGATGTCCAAGTCAAATATTGCCTTTGATATCCAATTTCTAATAATTGACACATAAATGTATGTATACCAGATCTATAAATTGACATAGATATTATATTTTTATGGTTTAAGACAAACTAACATTCCATCTCAAGAAATAAATATTTTCATATTTTTCTACCTTTGAAGAGACTCTTACCTACAACCGTTACTTGCTCTAAAAATCTTTGGATAGTCGGTCCCGACACCTCAAACCCCTGTATCAGACCAATCAGCCCGGAGGATCCGCAAACCCGTCAGTCTTTAACCCCGGGTTTTTCCCCCTTTTTTCAAAAAACTCGATCAGTTTTCAAAAAGTATCGTTTCCAAACACCCAAAAATTTATTGGGCAAAGGAACAAAATTTATTTTACTTGTCCTGCATGCAAGAAAAAATGGGTTTTTCAAAAAAATGTAACAGTGTTTAACTAAGAAAATAACAGTATGTCCCGCTACTTTTTTATTCTTCAAAACCCGGGATAGCAATATTGGGGAAAAAAATTTTAAAATTTTTTGTTTTCTTATGTTAAAATTTTCCCCCTTTAAACAAATTTTCCTTTTACTTACATTTGGCCCCGGAATGTTTAAATTATCATTTAAAAAAAATTTACCCCCTGGTTCAAATTTGCATTATTCATTTAACCTGATGTCAATTATCCCCTTTTAAATGTTTGGCCCCGAGGCCAAATTATATTATAGGGTTTGTTTGCCCGAATTTTAAAATTAAACATTTATAATTTATACCCCTTTTTGTAAAAATAAACCTAATAAAAATTTCCTTTTTAAAACAAATTTTAAATACAAATTTTTACTTTGTGTCAAATTTTTTGAAACTTTGTACCAGATGCCAAAATTTTTCATAATACAATTTTTTAACCCATGTTTAAAATTTCCTAATGTCAAATTTCACAATTTTATTTTACCCCGATGTCAAAATATCATAATTCCCTTTGAAACTTATTCAAAAATTAAACACAAAACTTTTTTACCTTAAAATTTTCCCCATAGTAAAATAAAGGGGAAACCTTGATAGTGGAATCCCTTTTCAAAAATCTCCCATAAAGGGGGTTAAACAAACAAAAGGTTTAAAACTGAAACCCTTTTTTCTACCCCCCTTCCGCAGGATATCAAAATTTCCCTGCCTTTTACAATCTGAAATTAACAAGTTTTTCCATGTTAAACCAATGAAAGCTCCCACTATTTTCCATTTTTGGGAAAACCCCTTAAATAATACATTGTTTAAATTCGGAAAAGTACTTTGAAAAAATTAATTTTTTTTCTTAGGTCAGTGTTTTTTGACTTTCCCTTTCCAAAATTAAAAAAACCTTTGGGTTGGGGTCCCTTTAAAATGCTTTTTCAATTTTTTTTGTTTCAAATTGAACTAAAAGTATAAACATCCCTCCCATACCATTTTGCTTTTTTTTTGGGGGCCCCCTTTTTTAAACCCTTGTTACCAAAGTTTTATTTAGTTTTTATTCCCCCCCAAAAAAAAACGAGCTTTTTAACTTTTACGTCCCGGGGAATCTGACTATTTTTTTTTATTTTGTTATTTTAAATTTCCCTTTAAAAATTTGAAATGAACTGTTTCCAAAATTTTAAAAAAAGGCCAGTTTATTATAAAAAAATTTAAACATTTTATGGATTAAATAATTGTTATTTATTATTGTAATTTAAAAATTTTTTTTTTGCCAAGAAATTAAGATGAATATTGTAAAGTTTATTAAAATATTTTTTTTTCTGAAAATTTTGGGGGACTCAAGCCTTTTTATGTCA